AGTCATACTTCTAGATCATGTGAGTCCTCTGTAGAAACTTCTTGAATGACTTCCCCATATGGAAGTTATGTGGTCTCCCAGGCCCTCCATGCTCTGGCCCCTCCCACCTCTCCAGTCTCAGCTTCTTACATCTCACCTTCATTCACCAAGCTCCAGCCACACTTACCCTCTTTAGGATTCTCAATTTAGACAAGCTTATTCCCAGGCCAGGACCTTCAATACAAACAAGCTCTTCCCTCTGCCCAGATTATTGGTTCCTTTACTCTTTGTCTAACACCCATTCATCAGACCTCAGCTGAAATATTTTCTCAGAGAAGCTTTTCTTGTCCCTAATTTCACTTATATCCTCCTAAACTCACTCATAGCACCAGCCATGTTCATTCACAAAAATGATCTGTTCTTAATTATGTTTATTTACAAAATGTACACTCTAAACTACATGAAAAGCAGAATCAGGCCAGGGTTTTGTTTGATTTCTAGCCTCTGTATAACTAGTACCTACAATAGGCAACATATAAGTGAATAAATTAATTGCATTTACCATATTATTTTTTAATTATCTGTATTAGTGCCTCTTTCTTCCACTAGTTGGTATTCCTTAATTGCAGCACTGAATGTCACATAAGGATGTTCAATATATTTTATTGAATAAATGCCCAACAAACAGGTGTTGAATAATTAAAAGCTGATTTTTGTGACTCATATTTATTCAAGATATTTTAATATTTAAAAAATAACATTATCATTTTAAGTAACTTCATATTTTTCAAATTTGCCTTTAATAATAGCTTTATTAAGAGTTTTAAGAGGGATGAAGACGTACATATTCCCAGGAAAGTCACCCCAATATATTTGGGAAATTTCTAATTATGCTGCATAAGGATTTGCTATATAGTCAGTTCAACGAAGCTATTAGTCCATTCATCTAAAGCTTCTAAAAGGGCTTTATTAATATTAAGTGAATTGCCATTCTGGTATTCTCAAAGCCTTCTGCCAAAAAATTTTTGTATTAAATAAATTTTTCTACCGGTGGTCTCTTCTGAACTACTAGTGTCATAAGTTTACAAAATTGTTTATTGTACATTTTCAACTTTATAGATAAGATTATTTATAATATCTTCTTGAAGTTCCAAAGTGGTATATTTAGATTTAGATACTATTCCAGGGATTAAAGTTCAAATATTGGGGACAAGGTATTCTCTCTAGAGCTTTTTATTTTGAAAAAGGAAGAAAAATGATATATGCTCTATCAACAAGAGATTCCTGAAGCAATACACACAATTAAAACCTTTAAATTAAATATGCAAACAAAATAAAAAGTTACCAGGATGAAATGAAGAGTCTTTATCTAGTTAAGTGTATTCCAGCAGCTGGAGGCATGGTTCCCAATGGATACACTTGTCTGGAGCTGTATTGTAACCTGCCTTCCAAGGACGCATCTCATTAATTCCTATTTCCCTTCCAGTTCCACAATTATTCTCCTTGGCCTCCATTTGGGAAAAAATCTAACAGTTGTGTGAACCCTTGAACATTTCATTGCCTTTGAAAAATCTGATTCCACCCTAAAAATGCTTCTTTGTTTATCTGAAGTACACACATCTTTAAAAAAATTTTTCAATAGAAATTGTCAGTTCCAAAGGCTCAGGAACAAAGGATTTTATGCTTTTTTTCCCCTCTTTCTTTAGACCTCTTGCTTCAATTGCAAATACAATCATCTTGAAAACCAATAATATTTAAGATTTCAGAATTACTGCCTGAGTGGGATTTTCTAATTTCTAATTCTAATTTTCCATTTCTAATTTTCCCTAAATATTCACCTTAGTAAAAGAAATTGGTATTAGCTAAGAAGGGTGATTGTAATAGATAACAGGGGCAGATCTAGAGAAAAACTTTCTAAAACAGTAAAGTTGTGATATCCAAGATTATCAACTACCGTTTTGTTTTAAGTTTAAAAATCAGTGCATTTACTAATAGGGTATATCCTACACATATAAATCAGAAATAATTTTTCATTGAGATAACCAAAGGATTGGATTTATTATAATATAATTGTCATTTTGGTTCAGAATACAAGTATATCTATAATTAAATAAGCACAAATAATAAAAATCTGTTTTGTTATCTGAAAGTGTTTACATCTTTTTTATATAAATTACTAAGGAAAAAACTAGGGCCCACAAGAGATAAATGAATAAAAGGATAAAGTACATGGAATGAACAATTTACAAATAACCAAGAATGGACCCAATTATTACGTGCAAAGATGCTCTCCAGAGTGTTGATTATAAGTTTACATTAACCTACTATATATTTCAAAATAGCTAGAAGAGAATAATTTGAATGTTTCCAGCATAAAGGAAAGACAAAGATCCCAATTACACTAATTTGATCTTTACAAATATATGAATGTATTAAATTATCACATGTACCCCACAAATGTGTACATCTATTATGTCTCAGAAAATAATAAAAATGATAAATGATATAAATAAAAATTATAAATGTGAGAAATGGCTATTTCCATATTTTATAGGTATAGAAATATACATTATATTCTATGGAGTATTATATGGACATTTAAAATCACATATAGGATAAATTATTAATAATTTGGGGAAACAATTTTGTTATGTAAAAAAAGAAGAAGAAAATGTATATAATATGTAATTATATACAATGAGATCAAAACTCTGTCACAAATAGATATAAAACAAATACATATTTTAAAAGAGAGATTATTAAACCTTTTTCTCTATCATGTTAGTTTAGCACTAACTAACACAATAGTTCAGCCAATCCAGTTTACTACATCCAGATTAGTTTATGGACAATAGTTTTATATAAAATATTATTTCATTAATAAATGCATATCATACACAAACTGATTCTATGTGAAATAAATGTGAGATGTTATTATAAATGCAGTTTGTAAATCTAAAGAGAGGACTTGAAGGAAATATATCTAAATGTCATCAAAACAGAATGTTGGGATTGCGGATAAGATTATATTTAATTCTTTATGCTTTTCCATATTTTTCTGTTTGTTTGTTTGGTTTTTGAGACAGGGTCTCGCTCTGTTGCCCAGGCTGGAGTGCAGCGGCGAGATCACAGCTCACTGCCACCTCTACCCTCCAGGCTCAAGCAATCATCCCTCAGCCTCCTGGGTAGCTGAGACTACAGGCGCATGCCACCACATCCGGCTAATTTTTGCATTTTTTGGAGAGATGGGGTTTTGCCATGTCTCCCAAGCTGGTCGCAAACTCCTGAGCTCAAGCAATCTGCCCACCTCAGCTTCCCAAAATGCTGGGATTACAGGAGTGAGCCACCGTGCTTAGCCCACTTTTCTGTATTTTCTAATTTTTCTGCAACTAACATGTATTGTTATTTTACCAGTCAGGAAAAAAACATTTTTAAGAATATTATAACAAATGCAGAAATTCTGAGTCATATAACATGACGCCAAATGAGACAGATAAAGAAAAATTAGGTCATTTCCATAACTTGTCTATACAAATTATATCTCACCAGCTGAACATTTGGCATCCTGTTAATAAATCATCAGCTAATTTTTATATGATGTATTAATTTCCTGTGGCTTCTGTAACAAATCATCACAAACTTGGCGGCTTAAAACAACTGAAATGTATTCCCTCACAGTTCTAAAGGCCAGAAGTCTGAAATCAGTATCTCTGGGCCAAAATCAAGGTGCTACACTCCCTTAGCCTGCTCTAAGAGAGAATCCACTCCTTGTCTCTTCCAACTTCTGATGGCTCTGGGCATTTCTTGGTTTCGGTCTGCATCACTGTCACTCTACTCTCTGTCTCCCTGCTGACATTGCCTTCTTTTCTGCTGAAATCTCCTTCTGCCTCCCTCTTCTGAGGATTTGTGTGAACGCATTTAGGCCCCACCCAGATAATCCAGGATAATCTCCCCATCTCAAGACCTACAGAATCCTTCTTTGCCATCATAAGGAAACATTCATAGGTTCTGGGGACTAGGATGTGAATATCTTTTGGAAGCTACTATCAACCAAATGTTTTTGTCCCTCAAAATTCGTATCAACAGATGAATGAACAAACAAAATATAGTATATACATACAACAGTATGATTCAATCTTAAATAGAAAATTCCAACACAGGTCGGGCTTGGTGGCTCACGCCTGTAATCCCAGCACTTTGGGAGGCCGAGGTGGGCAGATCTCGAGGTCAGGAGATTGAGACCATCCTGGCTAACCGGATGAACCCACATCTCTACTAAAAATACATAAAATTAGATGGGTGTGGTGGCGGGCACCTGCAGTCCCAGCTACTCCGGAGGCTGAGGCAGGAGAATGGCGTGAATCTGGGAGGCGGAGCTTGCAGTGAGCTGAGATCGCACCACTGCACTCCAGCCTGGGTGACAGAGCAAGACTCTGTCTCAAAAAAACAAAAAAGGAAGAAAGAAAAAAGAAAATTCCAACACAGGCTACAACATGGATGAATCTTACAGACATTACGCTAAGTGAAATAAGCTAGTAACAAAAGGACAAATAGTATATAATTCCACTTCTATGAGGCACCTAGAGTAGTCAAATTTATAGATACAGAAATTGAGTGGTGGTTGCCAAAGACTGGGGGAAGGGTTAAAATGGTGATTTAGTGTTTGATGGACACAGAGTTTCGGTTTAGGAAGATGAAAAAGTTCTAGGAATGGATAGTGGTAATGGTTACAGAACAATGCGAATGTACTAATGCCACTGAAATGTACATTTAAATTTGTTTACATGGTAAATTGTATTATGAATATTTTACCATAATTTTAAAAGAAGTACTGAGTTGAATTTCCACATACCTTGTGACTATTGGGTTTGGCACAAAAGTAACTGCATTTTTTCCCATCACTTTCAATGGCAAAAATTGCAATTACTTTTGAACCCACCTGATAGCTTATTCTAACATTACCATCTTACATAACCATTGTACAATTATCAAAACTAGAAAAGAACATTAGTACAACACTGTTAACCAGACTACAGACTTTATTTAGGTCTCATCAATACTTCCACTAATGTCTTTTTTTGTCCCCATTCCAGGATTTGGCACTTAAAACATTTTTGTAATAAAAAAATGTAAATCCTTTATAAAAGAATTTGCTATATGGTTTCTTTAAAGTGTAACCCTTATTATTATATTTAAAATATCTTCAAACTTACAAAAAAAAGTTCAGGAACTTATCTGTTTTATAAAAAAGTTTTAAACAACAGAATTGCAGTTGATAACAGAATACAGATTATTGGCTCAGGGGACCATATTAGTTCAAATTAGATTCTCACTACAATTAAAAGCCAAAAGAAAACTTAATTAAACAATACAGTTGCTTATTCCTTCCTCAGATGGAATTCAAGAGGTGAGCAGTTCAGAGGCTGGTTATATGGAAGCTCCACGGTATCAAAATGTAAAGCTTCTTCTGTCTTGTTCTGTATGCACAGCTTCCCTACCGAAGAACATGGTCCTTTATAGACCTGGGAGCTCCAGCCACTACATCCACACTCCAGGCAGCCAGGTGGAAGAAAGAAGAGAAGAACGGCTTTCCCCTTTCCATAAAGGAAAGTATCCTATATGCAAAAGTTGCATTTCCACATACACTCCATTGGCCAGAACTGAGTCGTGTAGCCACATCTAACTGTAAGGGAGGCTGGGGAGTATAATATGTATTCCAGGTTAGCATGAGCCCTGGGAAAAAAAATCGGGGGGAGCTGAATTACTAAGGAAGGCAGATGTAAAAAGTAGATATTGGAGGTCGAGTAGTAGTCTCTGCAACAAGAGGCATCCTTGATTCTGGACTAACACAAAAACTAGAGTCTGGAGAAAACAAGGAACAAAAAAATTTTCTCTGTCTTGATCATCAGCAAACACACATTTTCATTACAGAGAAGTTAAAGCAAAATATTATACTGTCCTTAATCCAGTGGGTAGGTGTCTCACTGGTGCCCATAGGAACTGCTGAATTAGAGCCAGTGAGTCTCTATCTTTAGATAATACAGCAGTCAATTTAAAATACACATATTGAGACACCTACAACATTACTGAGCACATACTCAGAGCTAAGCTGGGTACTCTGAGAAGTAGAACAAGAAGTCATTTTTTAATAAAAGGAAACACAGACTCTATGCTCTCTGGAGATTTACAGTTCTATTAAGGAGTTGAGATTTTCAAATAAATGACAAATGATAAATTTACAAAGGTAAACTGAGGCTTGGATTTGCCCAAGTCCCTTCCAATATCCACCACCTTCAAAATCAGGATGCAGTTTTTGTGACTATTTAATAGCAATCCAATACATTAAAACCTATTGATAAGTTCAAATGCCTTACCCGATCTATCTTTAATAATTTTAATTACCCTCTTGGTTTCTCTCATTAGGGAGAAAGTTCAGCTTGCACCCAGCTTTTGGTTGTTTATTTCAGAAATCTTCCCCCACCTACCCATATCCAACCTGACCTCACCATCTTGGCCCCCCCTCACCACACAGGTCTTTTGAGAAATGAAAAATAGTCCCTCTTCACACACAAAACAAGCTGGGGCAGGTCTGGTTTCAAGAAATCAGATTTTCTAAAATAATTTGAGCTCTTCAAGAAAACAAAATACAAAAGGACTGTAAATGTGTTTTAACTATTAAAAGAGGTAGGCGGATGTTCATTCTCTTTATCTGTATGAAAAATTTCCCTTCCTGACATTGAGTCATGTTCACTTTTCCCAAGAGGGAATAAAATGTTCCCTGTAAAAGCACAACCTTTTCTTTCCCATTGCTCTGGACGCATGCCAACATAACAGAAACAGACAAATAAAGGGCTGTGATAAGCTCCTCAGGTACCAGGGGAATGTTATCAGAGGAAATCATCTTCCTCCCTGTGACAAGACGCATGGATCCTCAGCATACTCACACAAAAAATGGGGCCCCCAAGGAGTAGAAATTCATCAAATACTCAGTGGGGAATTGTGCACAAAACAGCAATGGAAACCAGTGGGAACACAATTTTATTAACTCCAAAAAGTTGTACCAATTGGGTTCTTAGGAACAGTACCCAGATTGATATTCCTGGAGACAAAGGATTTTTAGTGACAAATATGAAAAAATGTGTGAGAAAGACTGTTTCTTTGCTTAAGATTCCAGTATTAAATTTGGGGTCTATAAAATACAGTGTTTATATTATCTGCTGGGCCACAGCAGGGAATCACATATAACAAGGATACAAACTTAATACATACTACAACTTAGACGTGCAAAATTTTAGAAATACAACCTCTTTCATTTTGTTTATAACTAACTGGGTCTTTGCCACGTGCTGAATGGCAGAAAAGAAAAATAAACACATATCCAATCTGGTTGATATGGTACTAGTCTCTCTAGGAAGGAACGCTCAGTCTCAGATTTTTCAGTCTTTCAGTTCTTTGCTTTCACTCATGATGGCCAAGGATGGGGAAAAGGGCCTTTGCTGGAGCTGCCAGCCAGAGGCATTCTCAGGTAGCTAGGTGTAGCATATTTTGGTGCCTCTGGTCTCTGGGGCAATGTCTTTTGTCCTCCAACTGTTATGTATGGATACTGTGATTCCAGGTCTGTTTTTTGACTTAAGAACTGCTCCCAGATTTCTGATGGAAGTTTTCACACTATGACCTAGAGATGAATAGATATACATTCTGTCTTGGGTTTCCTAAGCCAGTCTCCTATAAAACAAAAATTTCATCCCAGGAACTCTTCCATCTAAGGGAACATACACGTTTTGGCAATAATTCACTCATTTCTTTGCTCCCATAAATACCTTTTGCCCAGGATTTATTCAAGGAAAAAAAAAAAGATGGCTACTTAATGTTTATATTCCAGTGGAGTGAGTGATTTATTCATTGGAGGTCTAAGTGATGATCATAGAAAGAAACATAGAGTACTAGAACTGGAAGGAACTAATCTATTTTATAGGACTGAGGAAACCAAGGCCAGATTAACTGAAATGACTTAACTCAAGGCCACCTAGTTAGTCTTTGGCAGAGCTGGTATTTGAATCTGAGACCCCTGACTCTTAATTATACTACAAAAGTTTAAAAGGTAATTTTAAATGTATCTAAATTGTTACTGATTTGCCACAAACTAAATTGAAGTCTTTATTTTACTTAGCAGTAATTAAAATGTTAATGTGCATATTGTTATTCCCCTCTTTAGGTAGCTAAATTGGGATATGACTGGCCTTCATTAACATTAATTAACAAAAAGTCTTTAGCATTCATACAAATACCTGTTTTAAAATCTAAACAGTTCTGAATCAATGTGAGAGACAGACACTGGCATTTTCTCCTGGGTCTTGGTATTATGTCTTTGGAACGCTTTATGCCAAGCAAGAGTTTTCAATTATACTAAATAAACTATTTTTAAGAGTTCTTTTACTCTTAAAAATTAGAGGAAAGAAAAAAAATGCCCAAAGAAAGTATTTGGACCAATTGGTAATTGATTAATTCCAAAGAACATTTACACTTTATTTTATGATTTCATATCAGCCCAAGAACAGAACTACCTGTCTTCAACATTAAAATCCTCTTGAGAAACTCTCCAGCAGAGCTTGTCTCCAAGCCATGTCCATACAATCGGTTCAGTGTATAGTACATTTTACCACTCACAATAGAAGGTATTGTTCTTTATAGCTAGAGAAATTAATTATTTGAGCACCCCAGGATGTACAACATGAAAGAACGGCTTTATAGATATTCAGGGTACTATATAATATGCCATGGTGAATTATTGACTCTAATGAGAACATCTTTAAAAGGCTGAACTCTCAAGGGTGCTGGCTGAAGGATTGGGAGGAGGGGCTCATACATCAAATCAATAATTAGGAAGACAGAAGGAAGAGAGACAGATTGGGCAAGAGATTTCTGAAAATTGAACACTTGTCATCTGTGTAGCTCCCTTGCTGATGATTCATTAAATGAAGATTAACTTCAGTAACTTATTGACCACCGTGCCAATAATTCCTGACCTCTATTGCTTGCAACGCATGAAATAGGCAGGTCTAGATATATTGCCAAAGGAGTTGACTAAGTGTGATATGATTTAGATAAATTCATGAGCATATTTATATAATGTGTTAGTTATGTGTGTTTCTCATTTACATTTACCAGTTGTAACTGAATGTGAACATTTACCACATTGAGCATTGTGTTACACTGATAGGAGATATAAAAGAAGCAAATAACATTCTTAAAGGAGTTTATAGTTTATCTAGAGATGCTAAATATGCAAATATGTTGTTACACAAGATAATTTACTCATGTTTCCAAAAAGACCTCTGTGAACTAATACTGTGATTATTTACAACATGGAGTTATGTCTTTTACTTCATCTCTGGCTCTGACTCATGATCACATCTTACCTAAGTAAACTTTCTTAAAAAACAGATTGTTTCAGCTCTTGCCATACATTCTGGCAAAGGACAAAGAGATAGTATAAGTTTCATGAAACATGACTAAAATAAGGAAAAGCATAATTATGGACTGCAACGACATTGTCAGAAGTACTCCTGGTCTCCTGGGATCACTTACGTATATTATATTAAAGGCTCTTCTGACTGCATGAGCCAAATGTGGTAGAATAATGTTTCAGGACACCTCCCGAAGAGATCCATTCATTTAAGGTCCTGGAACATAGGAACTTATGATATTCAGCTCCTAATACTAGTAGAGAAACCAACCTATATATGTTTTGCACTACTCAGAAAACTTTCAAGAATAACTAGCATTTTCAAATCTTAGGGAAATAAGGAAGAAGATGTTATGAAATCCTTCATTCTTCAGTTTTTACAGCAGTGCTGTGAGGGTTAGGGATGGGTCTCCAAATGTTCAGGACTTGCTGGTTTTCCTCCCACTGCAACCTCCTTTTCATCTGCCCATGAAGGAGCTTGGTTCAGCTCTACTCAGTCTACCCACAGCTCTCACTAAGGACAGGAATCATATAAAGAATCCACTCCCATTAACACTTCCTCAGAGGAGATTAGCATCAGTATCAAGGTCTGTGTTGCTCCTAGGCCTGTGTTGCTTCTATCCTAGAAGTTGCCAAGGTTTCTAGAACCTGAGTTGTGCTTCCTTTGACCCACTTTCTAATACCTTCATGACTGGGCCTTCAAGCCTAATCACTGAATCCCTGTTGCCCAGACTCTTTGTCTCTCACTGCTAATGCCCACCTAGACCACCCATTCACCTATTTTGTAGCTTGAGATGCTATCGCAGATGAAGCCCAAATACACATTTACATACACACACAGATGCATACACACACACACACACACCCCCCATGGTTTTCTCATTCTGGGATTTTATGAGAGAACAATGGTAACTGTGGCAACCCTTGTTATTTCCCTGTGGAGTTTTTTGAGAGATCGATGTTTTGTATTGTTTTTTCATCTAAGAAAACATTGGCCTCAAAAGGCAAAAGTCACCAGCAAGAGAAATGTTCCTAGAAGGCCCTAACATACTATCTTTTTTATGACAGTTAGCAAAATATCCTCTGTCACTTCTGGGGCTCTTATTCCCCCTCTGTGCAGCATTCATAGTGTTCAAGTATATTAAGCATTCACATCATTTGTATGTGGCCCAGCCTCTGTTCTAATCCTATGTATTAGTACAGCTAACTGCAGCTCACTTGGTGCTGCTGTTTGCACAGCTGGACATGTCGGATAGAATGAGTTCATCCCTTCAAAGATGAGCTTAAAGCCGCCATCTAGTAGTGTCTTTCTTTTTAACACCTACCACCAGTCCTCATTGTTCTCACAAGCACGGTGAGTTTTAATGAAGTCATGTCTTTTAGTGTAACGCTGCAGGTGCACAAATGCTGATAAACCTCCTTAACTCGCTGTCAGATCAGCATGTTTATCTGCAAGCTGCAGAATGTATTTAATTATAAGATATGAAAAGGTCCTTCAGATTTGTTCTCTAGGCCCAAAAGCTAATGACTCACCGGTGAAGCGCTGTATCTCCCCAAAGGTTATAATGACTAGTTGCTGATGGTCTGAAGAAATTCATGGTAGCATCTGGACTGCAAGGTATAGAAATTTATTTTTAAAACATAAAAAAAAAGTTTCTAAAGGCCCAGGAAATTTTACCATATACCGAGTAAACACAATTAAATGTGTGTGTATGTGTGTGTGCATGCGCTTGTATGTTTGTATGTGTGTGGGTGTGGGGGAGACAGAGAGAGAGGGAGAGAGAAATGCCAACATGGTAACACGTAGCCAGCTTTCAGAACATTGCTATAAGGAATTCACTCCTAAAATCTTAATATGCAAATACCCTGAGGATGTTATTAACATCTTAGTGTAAATTAAATTTAATCACATTGCTTTCTTCACAAGACTAAACGTCTGAGGGAATGAGAGTTTGACCTGGAAATTAGAAGAGAAATGTATGAGGAGAAAATGGGTGCTCAAAAGAGGCGAGAGCACGATTTTCAAGTGCATAATCCTCCCCAGTAAGAGAAGGCCCTTTTAAAGAGAGAACACCAAGCACTCAGAGAGCTCCAGGCTCCTAAGGAGGGGTAAAGAGGAAAACTAAGGATGTGGGAGAAAGGCTTAAGCCATAAGTATCAGTCCACAGGGCAAGAACAGGAAGAACTCACGGGAGAGAAGATTCAGTTCCCAAGACAAGCAGGTTTGGTGGAAAGTGCCTTTAACTGATTGACAAATCACTTAACCTCTAAGTATGTTGTCATCTGATACTGCTGCCTACCTGCCTATCTCACCTCATAGCTATTAGTGCAATGTAAGATCATGTCTCATGAGCAACTTACTGGAAACTATTTTAATACATAAAGCAAAAACAAAAACAAATATATATATAAACCCCCACCGTAATGTGAATTCCTCCATAATGATAACTTCTATTAAGCAGTTAGCAGTTATTGAACACTGACCACTTGCACTGAATACAGTAACTTGCACTGAATACAGTAACTTGCACTGAATACAGTAAACACAATTAAGTCCCTTCACTTAAGTTTCTCTGAGTTCAGTGGAGAAGACAGTTGAGTAAATAACCAAAACACAGGATGCCAAATACATACTTAGCATAAAGCACCACAGGGGTAAGGAAGAAAAGAGACTTCCTCTGTTTGGGGAAATGAAGAAAGGCTTTTCCGAGGCGGAGATGGTTGAGCTAAGTCCTGCCTGCTGAGTGCCAGAGGAGGCAATGGCAAGTCAGGGAGAGTAGCAGAGGCAGAGGCAGCCAGCACATGCTGCCAGTCTAGGCTGCTCAGCGCTGCTTGGCCCAAAGAATAAAAAGCACAGGAACGCTGAATCTCATCCCTAATTCCCCCGGCCTGATTCCATGCTCACCAAGCCACCTTCTGATGATAATTTGGCTTCCCACTTACATTTGCCTGCAGGGAAAGCACATGCTGGACAAGAAACTGGAGTACCCAGTCCACTCAATGATTACATTTCTCATTGTAAATTAATCAATCAGCCATTCTGGCTGATGCCGTTTTTAAAGTTCAGACATGAAACTATCACTTATAAGGCAGAGGCAAAGGAAATTAGGTGAAAATTCACCAGGAAATCAGCCTTCAGGCCGCCAAGGAGTACAATGACAGAACAGCTGTGCAAACACCACAGGTAACGTCCGGAAATGGGCTCCTGACAAAGCCATATTACACAGCATGGCTCTCCCCACATGAAGTGCTCCCTCTCACATTTTTCTCCATTGTTAAATTCCCCTCAAATAGCCCAGCAAAAAGTCAGCATCAAATGTCAGTCATCAGAAACTCCTGGAAACCCAGGTCTGGAGAGAAGGAAACATCTATTTTACTGAATCCTTTACCCTTCCTGTTATGGACTGAATTGTGTCCCCCCAAATTTGTGTGTGGCAGCCCTAATCTCCACTATCTCAGAATGTGACTGTATTTGGAGACAGTGTCTTTAAAAATGTAATTAATATATCAAAGAGAGATCTGCACTCCCATGTTCATTGCAACACTATTCACAATAGCCAAGGTTTGGAAGCAACCTAAGTGTCCATCAACAGATGAATGGATAAAGAAAATGTGGTCCATATATACAAAGGAATACTATTCATCCATAAAAACATGAGATCCTGTCATTTGCAGCAACATGGATGGAACTGGAGGTCATTACGTTAAGTTAAATAAGCCAGGCACAGAAAGACAAACTTCACATATTCTCACTTCTTTATGGGAGAAAAATCAAAACAATTGAACTCATGGGGATAGAGAGTAGAAGGATGGTTACCACAGGCTGGGAAGGGTAGTCGGGGGTGGGGGGCTGGGGAGGAAAGTGGAGATGCTAAATGGGTACAAAAAAATGGTTAATAGTTAAAATGAATGAGGTCTAGTATTTGATAGCACAACAGAGTGACTACAGTCAACAATAATTTATGGTACATTTAAAAATAACTAAAAGAGTATATAATTGTGCCATTTGCAACACAAAGAAAGGGCGGATGCTTGAGGTGATAGATACCCCATTTTCCCTGATGTTATTATTCCACTTTGCATGAGATATCAAAATATCTCACATACCACATACCCCCAAAATACATACACCTACTATGTACCCACAACAATTAAAATTTTTAAAAAATTAAAGCCCATAAGGTAAACATAGTACTCAATAAATATTTGTTGAATAATAAATATTAAACCTAAAAAAAACAACAAAAACAATGAGAACAACATAATTAAGGTTACAAGAGGTCATTAGTGTGGGTCCTAGTTGAATATAACTGGTGTCCCCATGAGAACAGGTGATTAGGACACAGACACACACAGAGGAAAGAAATGTGAGGGCACATTGAAGATGGCCATCTACAAGCCAAAGAGAGGGGCCTCAGATGAAATCAACCCTGCCAACGCCTTGATCTCAGACTTCTAGCCTCCAGGTCTGTGAGGAAATAAATTGCTGTTGTTTAAGCGCCCCCAGTCTGTGGTACTTTGCTATGGCAGCCCTAGCCAAAAAATACACCTTCACTGAGATTCTTTCCTCCAAACATTCCAAACAGAAGATGCCTACCTGGCACCTTTAACGACCTGGAAAACTGTCCACTGCCGTCATCAGGAATGCCTTTTAGTCCATCATGCTTATCTCCACTCCAGTTACTCAGGTGGGTGGTTTTGGAGCCCCATATGTGATAAACGTCGTCTACTCTTGCTAAAGTAACCACAGTCATAGTGTTTGAGGCATCAGCGCTTGAAAGCGTAATGCCTTTACTACCTGCACAAAGTCTTTGACACAGACAAGATGAAGGACTCACATAATGAAAGCACAAAAACTTATGATTATCCTAATTTTGTCTTGATATTTTAAAAAATTTCTGTAAAAATCAATACCCTGTTGGATAGGTGAGCCAAGGAGAGTCAGAGCACTGTCCAGCTAGTTCCTGAAGATATGAACCATGGAACCATAACAATTCATTTGAAAAACTCCTAAACCTCTCTTATTTAACAACTTGTTTCTGAATGGGTGGAGTTTCTCAGTTACAGACTTACAGTTTCAAGATTTGCTTGCACACATGGGTGTTTTTTGGTTAAAAAAACAAAAGTCTCAGTGAAAACCAGTTTGAAAAACTGGAGGCCTTTCAGTTTGCACCTGGAACTGCAGTCAAATAGGTTTTACCACTGCTTCACTTGCTTTTTGCTTGTTTGTTTGTTTTGTTTGTTTTGACCATTTCTTATTTTGTGAGAAGCAACACTAACTGAAATACACCACATTTGAGGAGTAAAATGTTCTTAATCCCCAACACTCAATGTCTGTTGCAATTCAGTCTCCCATTAAAAATGTTCCTGTTCCATCAACAGTTATAAGTCATGTGGATAATATGGATCCTTGATATGACGTGATGGAAATGGTGCTTTACCTATATGGTCTTCTTCAGAAAAACACATAACTCCAGTCTACTAATGAGAAAAGTGTGAGACAAATCCTGTGTCACCATGTGAGAGAAATTTGACTAAATGCCTGACCAATACTTCTCAAAGTTGTGAAGGTCATCAAAAACAAGGAGGGTTTGGGAAACTGTCACAGCCTGGAGGATACTAAGGAGATAAGAGAACTAAATGGAATATGAATCAAATCCTGGAACGGAAAAAGAACATTAGATAAAAATGAAGGAAATTTGAATAACATATGAACTTTAGTTCATAATAATTTGTCAATACTGATTTACTAATTGTAACAAGTACACATGGTCTATTAATTGTAACAAATAGTCATTATGATGTTATCAATAAGGGAAATTGGCTATGGGGTGTATGGGAAGTCTATATACTATCTTCACTATTTTTCTGTAAATCTAAAACTGTTCTAAAATAAAAGGTTTATTTTTAAAGCGTACCCTGTTTTAACTCTCCCCAATGGCCATGGTTGTCTGTAAGTGGCTCTAATATGTAGCCAGTCTTCTCCAAGATTCTAATATGTGACTCCCCTCCTCTTCTGATCCCTCTCCCAGTGCAACTTCTGCACATATTTCATGTAAGCACTTTATCTTTCAGTAATAAGAGCTTCTTTTAACTCTCAACAGTCATTTGAAGGTTGCTGCTCCCTCTTCTCTTTAAAACATACTTTGGTGGAGGCTTCCTATCATCATCTCATCCACTGCACAGCACATGACTCTTGTCTTGATGTTTTCTCCATTGGGATGTCTACAACTTTAATTCCTGGGGCATCTTTCTCACAGTATAAGCCCCAAGTTTTCATTAAATAAAGCCCTTTGGGGCCCAAAGTCAGCTGCTAGAAGCAGTAGAGAGATGCCAAGAGGCCCCACACTAAATCAGTGTGAGAGAAATCAATACCAGGAAGAGCTGGGTATAAATGTTTTCAGCCCTTAGCATTAAAGTCCCGCAATGCTAAAAGCATCCAGATGCATGCCACCTGGGATCCACAGTCCCTAAAGAGAGTATTCTTTTCCTGTTGAATCATTTGGGGTTCAGGTTATTTTTTTGTTGCTTTTATTTGGTTGGTTTTTAACTAATCAAAAAGCAGTGTGTGTTTGCAGAAAAAGCCTCTTGGCCTTGATATTCAACTCACA